CTCACATCGGACACGTAGTACTGGGGAGAGACAGGGAAACAGTCATGGGATATTGGGGATAATCCATGGGATATTGGGGATAATCCATGGGATATTGGGATAATCCATGGGTTACTGTGAAACATCCATGGGATATTGGGGATAATCCACGGGGAACGGGGAATTCACCCCGCTCACCTCGTACACGTAGTACTGAGGAGTGAGGGAAACAGCCGTGGGATATTGGGGATAATCCATGGGGAACGGGAAATTCACCCCGCTCACCTCGTACACATAGTACTGGGGAGAGACAGGGAAACAGCCATAGGATATTGGGGATAATCCATGGGATATTGGGGATAATCCACTGGGAACAGGGAATTCACCCTGCTCACCTCGTACACGTAGTACTGGGGAGAGACAGGGAAACAGCCGTGGGATATTGGGGATAATCCATGGGATGCTGTGAAACACCCATGGGATACTGGGGATAATCATTGGGATATTGGGGATAATCCATGGGGAATGGGGAATTCACCCCGCTCACCTCGTACATGTAGTACTGGGGAGACAGGGAAACAGCCGTGGGATATTGGGGATAATCCATGGGATACTGGGGATAATCCATGGGATAATGGGAAACATCCATGGGGAATGGTAATCATCCATGGGAAGCAGGGAATTCACCCCCCTCACCTCATACACATAGTACTGGGGAGAGACAGGGAAATATCCATGGGATATTGGGGATAATCCACTGGGAACGAGGAATTCACCCCGCTCACCTTGGACATGTAGTACTGAGGAGATACAGGGAAACAGCCGAGGGATATTGGGGATAATCTATGGGATGCTGTGAAAACATCCATGGGATACTGGGGATAATCATTGGGATATTGGGAAAAATCCATGGGGAATGGGAATCATCCATGGGGAACGGGGAATTCACCCCGCTCACCTCGTACACACAGTATTGGAGAGAGACAGGGAAATATCCATGGGATATTGGGGATAATCCATGGGATACTGGGATAATCCATGGGATACTGGGGATAATCCATGGGGAATTCACCCCGCTCACCTCGTACACATAGTACTGGGGAGAGACAGGGAAACAGCCATGGGATATTGGGGATAATCCACAGGGAATGCGAATCATCCATGGGGAATGGGAATAATCCATGGGATACTGGGAATAAACCATGGGGAACGGGGAATTCACCCCGCTCACCTCGTACACGTAGTGCTGGGGAAGGGGCAATGCTGGGAAAAGGGAAATCCATGGAATGTGGTGGGGATGGGGAAGCAGGGAAATCAGGGAATGGAGAAATCCATGGAATGTGGGA